ATCTATCTATCTATCTATCTATCTATCTATCTATCTATCTATCTATCCTATTCCCTGCTTTCTATTTCCTGTTTTCTATCTGTCTTATCCACTATCATTTATCTATCTAATTTACGTAGCCCACCTACCACCCACATTGATTCTGGATGGCATGCACCAGTGAGTTAAGGAAACAACCGGTAGTCAGCTAGACGGACATCCCCTCCCTTCCTCCCTTCCTGCCGAAGAGCAGGGGGTTGGACTGGAAGACCTCCAAGGTCCCTGCCAGCTCTCTTATTCTTTTTATCTCTAGTTAACACAGGGATGGGGAGCTGTGGATGTCAGCCAGGCTTTCCCACCTCCGTTTCTCCTCAGAATCCATCTATAAGAAAGGCACGGTGAAGTCCGCTACTCACTGGACCCTGTTTGGGAAGAACCTCTACTACATCTCGATCGGTAGGAAGACCTGGTACGACGCTCAGAACTTCTGCCTCTCCAGAGATTCCCACATGGTCTCCATCTTAAATGACGAAGAACAGGTTCCACTCAATTTTCTTTCCCCCTTTTCTGACCATCCTCTTGAGTTCCTTAAGCAGCGGTTTCATCTGTCCTTAAACCCTCGGAGGCCATTTTCTTTTCTTTTTTTTGCATTCATGTCTGCCCTTTTATGTCTCTGGGCAAACCTTTTGCCAGGACCAATTCAGCCCTTCCTCTCTCTGGAGAATTACGGTCAGGCTGGCTGTCAGGAGAAATACCAATGCAAATACCCAATGAGGAACTATGTTGATTTATTTATTTATTTGATTTGTCAATTGTTTACAAGATAATAAGTATAAGTGTATACATAGTTATGAATACATGAAATGGGTACATATAAGAACAATAAAAGAAACAATAGGACAGAGACGATAGGCACGTTGGTGCGCTTATGCACACCCCCTACAGGCCTCTTAGGAAAGGGGTGAGGTTAACAGTAGACAGTCTTAGGTTAAAGTTTTTGGGGTTTGGGGAAGAAACCACAGAGTCAGGTAGAGTATTCCAAACATTGACCACTCTGTTACTGAAGTCGTATTTCCTGCAATCAAGTCTGGTGTGGTTAAACTTGAGTTTGTATCTATTGTGTGCTCTTATATTGTTATGATTAAAGCTGAAGTATTCATTGACAGGTAGGACATTGCAATGTATGATTTTATATACCATACTTAAATCAGACCAAAGACGGCGTAATTCAAGGTTTTCTAGTTCTAGAATTGCAAGTCTAGTGGCATAAGGTATTCTACAACGTAATGTTCTCTCATTCTTGGCCTCAATCTCTTTCACAGAGAAGGAAAGAGAGAGAGAGAGAGAAGGAGAGAGGGCATTCAGTAGATATGATTTCAAAAGGTCCAGCTTGTGCCTGCCAGATATATAAGAACAGATTCCTTCTCGTTAATATTCAGGGTGTACCGATGTCACCCAGAAAGGACCATAACAATGTCCAGCAACAATCTCCTCCATTGCCGAATGCCTCATGCTTATATGCTTATGTGGTAACTGCTAGAAAGCAGTGAGTTAATTAAACATAAAGCTTGTGTCCCAAGTTATCCACAAGGCTTGAAGGCAACGGCTTCCTTGAGTGGAGAAATAGCTACAAAGTTCTTACCTTCAACATTTTTATGGAAAGTGTTTTACCTGTATGCCATTAAAAGTCAACTTTTCTTAGCCATGGAATAGAAGAGAGTAGAAATAGATGATGGATAGGATAGGATAGAATATAGAATATAGAATAGACCAGAATAGAATAGAATTCTTTATTGGCCAGATATGATTGGCCACCCAAGGAATTTGTCTTGGTGCAAATGCTCTCAGTGTCCATAAAAGAAAAGATACATTTGTCAAGAGTCAAGAATCATCAGGTACAACACTTAATGATAGTCATAGGGTACAATAAGCAATCAAATCATACTAGGAAACGGTCAATATAAATTGTAAAGATACAAGTGACAAAGTTACAGTCATACAGTCACAAGTGGGAGGGGATGGGTGATAAGGAGTGATGAGAAGATTAATAGTAGTGCAGACTTTGTAAATAGTTGGACAGTGTTGAGGGAATTATTTGTTTAGCAGAATGATGGCATTTGGGAAAAAACTGTCCTTGTGTCTAGTTGTTCTGGTGTGCAGGGCTCTATAGTGTCATTTTGAGGGTAGGAGCTGAAACAGTTTATGTCCAGGATGTGAGAGGTCTATAAATATTTTCACAGCCCTCTTTTTGACTCGTGCAGTATACAGGTCCTCAATGGAAGGAAGGTTGGTAGTAATTGTTTTTTCTGCAGTCCTAATTACTCTCTGAAGTCTGTGTCAGTCTTGTTGGGTTGCAGAACCAAATCAGACAGTTATAGAGGTGCAGATGACAGACTCAATAATTTCTCCGTATAGAATAGAAATAGATGATGATTAGGATAGGATAGGATAGGATAGGATAGGATAGGATAGGATAGAATAGAATTCTTTATTGGCCAAGTGTGATCAGACACACAAGGAATTTGTCTTCAGTGCATAAGCTCTTAGTGTACATAAAAGATATAGGTGATAAATCATGATCATACTCATCATAAATCATAAGATACAACACTTAGTGATGGTTATAGGATACTAAATAAACCATCAACCAAAATCATGCTAGGAAACTAGGTAAAACAATATCACTCGTAAAGAGACAAGCAACAAAATTATAGCCATAAGTAGAAAAGGAGAAAAGGTAATAGGAAAGATAAGAAGAAGAATAGTACTACAGTCTTAGTAAATAGTAATTAGAATGGGCTTTCTTTGGGAAAGGAACACAAGTAGTTTATTGTTAATTGTAGGTGCTTTGTGGCATTCCCACCCTGTGACACCTACTCCTCCTCTCCTTTTTTGGCAGAAGTTCATCACTTCGCAGTTCAATGATTCTGTCTGGATTGGGCTGAGCAGTGAAAATGAGGAAGGCACCTGGCAATGGTCGGATGGATCCAGATTAAAGCTACAGTGAGTGGTCGACCCACCGTCTCCCACCTTCAGCTTCCTGATCACTAAATCTGTGTCAGGCATGAACAACCAGACCCACACGTGAAGAGTTCAGTCTAGCTCCTTTATTGTTATAGGGACACAGTGGCTCATTGGCTAAGAGGCTGAGCTTATCGATCGTAAAAGGTCAGCAGTTCGAATCCCTAGCACCGCATAATGGAGTGAGTTCCTGTTTACCGGCCCCAGCTTCTGCCAACCTAGCAGTTCAAAAGCATGTAAAAAATGCAAATAGGAAAAATAGGGACCACCTTTGTTAGGAAGATAACAGCGTTCCATGTGCCTTCGGCGTTGAGTCATGCCGGCCACATGACCACAGAGATGTCTTCTCAACAGTGCTGGCTCTTCGGCTTTGTAACGGAGAGAAGCACCACCCTCTAGAGCCGGGAATGACTAGCACATGTGTGTGAGGGGAACCTTTTCCTTTAGGCCTTATAGTAAGCTTTCCTTCTCCTGCACCCGCTAGGTTCTGGGATGCTGGTAGTCCTACTATCCTGAAGAAGAATGGAGAAGTGGAGCGAGATTGTGCTTTCATGAACCCATCTGCTGGCATATTGAACTGGAGGGATGACAATTGCCACGCGCTTAAACAGTGGGCTTGTAAGGAGATCATAGTCATGGAAGATATAGAATATTTAAGCCAACCCTAATTCTTGAAGCCACCCTAGATGTGAACACAGTTTTGTTTTTCTCCATCTGAAACAGTAAACTAATGAAAACAGCATTCTTGTCCTTGTCTCCTGGAAGAAAGCAAAAGCCATAAGTTTGATGTCGTATCTAGGCTCTGCAACCAAGGACAGACCTTGTTCAACCACCTCCTGAGCGCCGCTCATGTTTTCAGGACACGCTGAACTGGGCCCATTCGTAGCAAATACTGGCTTTGTGCCAGGTTCCTCCAGCTAGACTGACTAACTGAGGGGATCATAGGTGGACCTAACCAACATATTCATTTAATGCCGAACATCATCTTGATGTGGGTCCAAAGCCTTTTTGTCTAAGCCATTAGACCAAGGCTCTTCAAACTCCCAGAATTCCTGAGCTAACATGACGGGAGGAGGAATTCTGGGAGTTGAAGTCCACAAGTCTTAAACTTGCCAAGTTTGAAGACCCCCGCATTAGACAAAAGGATGGAGATGCAGCTTGTGTGCGTTGTTGTAGGCATCTCAGCTTCTGGGCATCTGTGTGCCTTGCTCTAGGCATCACTTCGACCTTCTCATCTCCAATCATCTGCAGAAGGAAGGTCTTCTCCTTCAAGAGACCATGTTTGTGACATCCCAGTACATACTGGAGCATTTCCCATTCTGCGAAGCAGGCCAGTGTCTACACTTATGATGGTGAACCTATGGCACGCGTGCTGGAAGTGGCACCCAGAGCCACTTCTGCCTGCACATGAGAGGTCTCCCGGAAGAGCCCCAATGCACATACGCCTGCATCGCCCACCCGCTAGCTGATTGTCAGTATCTGGCGTGCATGTGGGTGGAGGGGGCGCGTGGGAGACATGTGCACATGCGCAAAGATGTGCAGCGCGCATGGAGGAATCGCACACACATGCACAGAAATGCGCATTGCTTTATGGGTGCTGGCACATGAGTGCACAAGCACAATTTTTGGCACAGGAGCCCAAAAAGGCTAGCCATCACTGGTTTATACAACAGGAGAGAATGGCAGAGAGAACGGGAGGTGGCCTTGGCAGAAGGTGAACCACTGTCTAGAGAGAAAGTGCAACGTGGCTGGCACGGGTGTGTGTGGAGGACATGCCCCCAGGTGGCTTCCCTTCCTTTTAGGTTCCAGGGCACCCAAGGTGATAAACCTGCCCATCAGTGCCCATTAAGTTCATGTTCTAGAGAGAAAGGAGATGACACAGTAGACAGCCTCTTTCCTTTCACTGAGTCAGCCAACCCCTCAGGACAGCTGAGGACAATAAGTGGCTGGGACATCTGGTGTGGGACACAACTGGAGGACCACACCAAGCAGGAAACGAAGTCTTTCTGAAGGCCCACATGGGATCCTGTTTGGTGGTGGTGCAGGGAACAAAAAGTCTGCCGCTTGCGTGGCCTGGTTCTGAACAGGCCACGGGCTCAGGAACGGCCTGTGGCCTGGGGACCCCTAGCCTAAACCAATGCCGCAACTGGCTCCATTCTTTTGTAGAACAAGAGAAGGTGAAAGGGTTTAGGAAGGGGTGAGGGCAGGGGTGGGATTCTACCAGTTCACACCTATTCGCTAGAACTGGTTGTTAGAAGAAATTCCTGGCCTAATCCTGTAAGGAAGGCAGGAAGGAAACATTCTGGTGTTGCTTACAGAAACTGCCTCTCCATTAACCCTTATTACATTCTTGGCAGGACTAGACTTCCTGTCTCAGGAACTTCTCTGGAGTTTTTTTCCCCTCCTTTGCTGGTACTTTCCTTGTGTGGAGTGACCATTCAAAGTTACAATGGCACTGAAAAAAGTGACTTATGACCGTTTTTCACACTTACGACTGTTGCAGCATCCCCACAGTCTTGAGAGGCCAGGCGAGGAGATGCGTGCCTCGATGTGAGTGATATTGAGTTGGCCACACCCAGCCAGTCACATGACCACCAAGCCACACCCACCCAGTCACATGTCCACTAAGCCAAACCCACCAACTAAGCCACGCCCACAGAACTGGTTGTTAAAAATTTGAATCCCACCCCTGGGTGAGGGGCAATCCACCTTTATTCTTCCTGGCCAATTACGTTAGCCTTGATGGTTAAGGCAAGTGGTCAATCATTTACCACCGATGAGTGGTACCTAAAGGAGGCAACGGATTTTACAACTATAGAGGAAATAGAATTTTCTGGTTGTTTTAATTCTTCCTGGGAGGTGTGGAATAGGGAAGGGACCTGTTGGCTGTATCCCCATTTCTGGAGCAACCCAAAAGCTCACCTGGCACTGCCTTTATCTCCTCCCTAGCAGAGGCTTAAATTCTGATATTTAACCTATCCTCCCTCCCCCCCTCCCTCCTTCCTTCCTTCCTTCCTTCCTTCCTTCCTTCCTTCCTTCCTTCC